TGTGATTCAGCTTAAAAATAATAATATATCTCAAACATACAAAAAAGGGTATATAATCTCCAGCGACACGTGCTACACTGCTTGGCTAACCTGCTTTTCAAAAAAGTGTATATTCAGTATTGAACTGCTTTAAACACAATGTACGGATTAAATAGTTACCTCTTAACATTAGAAGTATATTGTTAATCATTTGTATTTCCTATAAAAATAATAGTAAAATATTTGTTATTACTTTTGCTAATTATTAAAAAAAAAAAAGGAAAAAATATAAGATCGCCCGAGCAGGGACTTGAACCCTGGACCCTTGGATTAAAAGTCCAATGCTCTACCGACTGAGCTACCCGGGCATTCAATCGGGCGTTGCCGAAATCCACTCAAAGCTGTTGGATCCTGGAATGCCTACAGGAATATTAAAATAAATTCAGAAAATAAATTTAACTAATAATAATAGAAAAACAAAACAAACAAACAAATGTTTGATGAATCTAAATAGTGTTTTTGAAGATTAGAATAAATCAAATATAGAATGAACTTTTACCTAAAGTTTAATTTTTTTAAATTAATTATTGATCTTATGAATTTAACATAATGTTTTATAGTTAATATTTAAACAAATAATTTTAAGAATCATCTTCAGTTGTAGCGAGTTGGGATACTTGAGAACGAGTGTTTCTTCAAAATTCCATTCTACATGGAGTATACAAATTAAATTAGATAGTATACAAACCGGGTAGTATAAAGACTATATTGATATAAAGAACATAAATTGAGTTAAATACCGTTTATATATGGACTTAAGCATGCTCTTTGTAGGGACGACTGTAAGAAATAATGGCACGCCTTGAGCACTAGGTATGAGGTCTAGAAACATTGCAACGTTTTGAATAATAATTGCCTCAGTTGTAGTTACAATTTGAGCGGTTATAATTTCCATGAACCACAAACCGCCTGTTATAGCGAATAATCTGATTGACTGCGCGAAACTGAAATGAAAATGGGAAATAATACATCTA